CTGTTACCCACCTTTCCTAACATAAAAGAAGGTTTCAATCAACCCCAAGTTAAGATAGTGTTTTAGAACATTAGTTCCAAATAAAATCGCTTTCCTTGCCCCAACACCTTGTCTCTCCACTAACTAGTCTTGTCATGCGATGAGTGGCATGAACTTGGACTCCGTTAACATATCCATCTCCTTAGCCTATTCCTAATTGCTTATAATTCCCACCCCGCCTCTGTGTCTCTTTCACATTTGGAATAAAATTTAGAAAATATTTCCCACCTCAGGTGAGATTAATATACCATTTTTGGAGTTGTACTTTCTCACCATTTATCTTCAGTCTCTATGACCTGAGTTTTGGGTAAGAGATGTCCCTAGTGGTGAGCTGGTTATCCTAAGACTATCTGTCAAAGAGGCCATACTTTTTGTACTGATTTAAAATGATCATATATTGAATTAATTTGTATAATATGAACAGATTCTATTTTTGGACCCTTAAATATATTCCCGGGCTCATAGCACACACTTATTGTAACCTTAATAGGATGGGAGGGTAAAGCACCATCAATACATTCATTTGAAAACAAAATACTTTATTATTCTACTGCTTTATTCTTCATATAAACATTATAATCATTTTGTCAAGCTTTTTAAAGTATCTTTGTGGCTTTGTTTGGAATTATATTGTTTCCAAATTCATTAGAGGCAAATTGCATTCTTTATCAAATTAAGTTTTCTAAATACGGTGCATTTTCTTTTTTTAAAATTTCCCCTTAAGTACAAATTTTATTTTTCAGATTATAATAACAATACCTACTCATGTAGAGAATATGAAAAAGTACAAATAGCCATTTATTTTTCTCCATTTTTTGGAGGTCAGACAGAGAGAGTTGAGCTAATTCTGTATCCCTGTGGTCCATCGAATGCTCCTTTAAAAGTCAGAAAAGGCTAAGTGCCATAACAAACAACCCAATGTCAACAGCTCAACACAGCAGAAGTTTACATTTTGCTCATGTCCATTTGGTTCAGTCAGCGTAGGGTAGGGACTCTGCTCCATCCATTCATTCAGGGACCCAGGCTCCTTCCTTAGGATGACTCCCTCACCAGCCCCACTGTTCTGCGGGCTGTGTTAGATCCTCCCAGAATAGTCTGTACAGATCTCTGCTTTTGCTTTTACCACCAAATACTATAATATTACGAGTATCTGGACTCATTTCTAACTACTAGACTGTCTTCTTTAAGAAGAAGTATATCGTATTCACATTTACAAGCCCAACACCAAGCATGTCAAATGGTTGTGATTTGCAAAAATATTCCTTAAAAATCACACTGTAAAATAATATAAATGTTTGTAAAAGAGACTGGAAATAAGTACATCAAAAGGGTGGGCTTCCAGTGTTTTTACATTTAGCATGTGTTAATTATAGTCAGAAAAAAATAAAACTCTAATAAAAAAGGAAACAAGTGAATTCTTGAGTTTTTTTCATTCCTTTGTTCCTTCTAATAGTTTTCTTTATCTGTTTCTATTTGTTACTTATAGCAATTTTGAAACATATTCAGAGCTTATGCTACAGTTCCCTTTCAACATTTTATAAAGGAAGGGTTTTATAACCCAGAACTCATACCAAGTTGTGTAGAAAATGGAAAATTTCTTTAAAACAAGATAAATTAGAATGTTTTAAGAAAAACAACTGTATAAAGCCTAAACCCTAATTTTGTAGAAAACTCAGGCACTTAGACACATCATCTTTTTGAAAAGTACTTTTGTTCATTGCCAATTGTCCTTTTTATTAATGTTTCAACAAATTATTTAGGTTTTTAAGTCTCTTGGTGATCAAAGACACCTCTGAAATGTTCTGTAGCACTTTCCAGAAATAAAATAAATAAGTGAAACATATCCTAGAAATTGATGTAACTTAATTTTAAATTTCAGGCTTGATCAAACTCAGCTTTGTTTATCTTCAGGTTTAAATCACTTTGTCTTGAGACTAAGCCTGTGAATACCCCCTTCTCCTCCTATTTTCCCATCTTAGGCCCACAATGTCCTTGCTCTCTTCCTAGGGTTAGAAAAAATCAGGAACTCAGACTTCTGTTAAAATGACCACAGTGTACTTTATTTAATGATTTTGGTACCTTGTGTTGCAATAAAATAAAAAAAAATCTACAAAATCCAAATATATAAAATTTCAAGTTTTCTTTTTTTGTTGTTTTACAAGAAAAATCATGTAACCAAGGAAATTTGTTCATTATGAAGCACTACTTTCCACTTCATTTCATCACAAATTGAAACTTACTTAACAGACCAAAATAGCTATGGTATTGTAATACATCAAATACGCCACACACTGTGCTTTCGACTAGAGCACACAGGGCCTCAGCCCAGAGACGGCAGCCTCCAGCCAATAAAGACACTCTTACAATCCGAACGCTAAAGAAATATTTGGATACATGGAGCTTGAGTATATATATTTACAGGAAGGAAAAAAATTTAATAACTAGTTTAATTCTTCATTTCAAATAAAATTCCAAATCCATTTGTACAATGTTTACAAAGGAAAAGCACAATAATTGCCAAGGTTATCATTCGGTCCAGGCCCTGTGCTCGCACTGGGGGAGATGTCTACACTGTTCCCTGAACACATAACCCAGGGTCTCCCAGACTTTCTGCAATGGTCATGGGAGACAGAAGCCCAGGAATGGCACTTGTCACATCAGAATGTCATGTGGAGTTGACAACAGGGAACTGAGAAATGACTGGTCCATTCTCTTTAGTTTGCTGTCCATCTGCCACCTGGTAGGTTTCCTTTTCAGAGAGAGACTTAAAACAAACAAACAAAATTGAACAGGGAAAGAAGCACAAAATGTTTAAGGCAAATTAAGCAAATATAGAGCAGCTTCTCTTGGTGTTGAGTGGAAACGAGAATTTTACCCCAAATCAAATTTAGAAAAAAGCAAACAAAATTAGGTACAACCTCCTGAGGCTGGGTTGCTTATTGTCATATACAAATTTTTGAAAATTGCTTTGCACCAAGTATCCTTTTGAAATTTTAAATGAAAAACTTGTTGGTTACAAAGTGCATGATTTCATGTTTCTAAATAAAACAACAGTAGCTGAGGTAGTTAGATGTGAAACTTACTTACTTAAAATAACTGGAGAATGAAGAACAACTGTCAGTAGCAAAAATCCTTGCATTTAGAAGCAGGTTAATATTGTGAAATGGTTTAATGCTGAGCAAAATACTCCTGTTTTTCTATTAGATGTTGTTAATTAAACCAGAATATTAATGGTGGTAGTATTTGTTTCCAATTTGCTTGGTAGGATGTTAGTACAAAGTCTGTGTCCCCAGTAATTTTGTTTGTAACTCATACGTTAACTGTTTCTGCTTTGAAGCTGTAACATACATAAAATGGCATCAGTGATCCTGAGTATGAACTTCTGATGTAAGCTGTAAAAAAGAATTTAGTAAAAACTGTGAAAGAATAACAAGGATGATTTCACTCATATTTTATGTTTGTGTTTTAGCCCTAAATTCAATGTACTCAAAGGGGGAGGAAAACTCTGGCTCACTGGTTGCCCTCCTTCTTCTAAGGGAACAACCTAGAAGGGAACAACCTAATTTGCACATCCATCATTTCTCCCTCCTGGTTAATGAGCTGTCTGGTAACTGAGCAGAAAAGCAGGAACAATCCGGTAGAGGCAAGGTCCTTACTCAAGCCTCTCTCCCTTCCTGCCCCCCACCCCCTATTAGTAAAGAGTAGTTTCAGGTGGAAACTTCAATAAACAATTGACAAAAAGCTTCATTTTTCAGCCATTTCATTCCATCTAAATATGAAATGAGTGCTGTGATAATAATATGTCAGGGATAAGAATGGATATAAATGAGTTGGGAGACATTCCTTTTGAGCAAAAAAGAGCTTTCCATGTGTTTCCTACCATGTATTCATGGGACAGAATGTTAATGGGAAGTAACCATGAAAGCTGACTATATTTAAAAAGCATCCCATACATGATGATTACATAAGGACTGGTCCATAGTAGTGGTTCATCTCTGTGAAAACTAATATCCTGTAAGAGTCTCTTATTTTCAGGGAGAACTTTGGAGAGTTTCCCTTTGGGCTGGAAAGCCTTAAAAGAATAAAAGTATGGGGCATTCCAATCTCCTTTTTCCCAGTAATTATATGTATAGCTTGTATCTAGTAACATGCTGTCTTCACTTGTTTTTCCATCTATTTGGTAAAGGATTTAGATTCTGTCACTTCAAAGACTTGTCCAGCTCTAACAATTAAATTTTGTTTTGGACCTTTGTGGTAAAGCCTCTTAATGGCATAGTCTCCCAGCTGCCCTCTGCTCATCCTGGCCAAGCCACTTGAAAGCTTGCCACACCTTTCCTGATTTCTGTGCTCCTGCATCTAGTTGAGGTAACTGCAATGTTTCTTATGCAAAAATAAAGGAAAGTCATGAATGTTTCCTTTCAGAAATAAGGATATTCTGCTGCATTTCCAGTTTAGAAGGTAACTGATGCTAGCAACTGGGAAAAAAAATCCAAATTATTCTGACTCACTACACTCATATTTTGAGTAAAAAAAACCAGCATTCATCTTAAGTCTGGTGTGGCAACTTAAATATTTTTTAAATGGATGTGATAATTGCCTCCGTTAAATTCATGCTTCAGAAAGCTTAACACCATGCATTAGAAATGTTTAACTAAGCTGGAATTTCAGCCTTTGCTACACCATTGGCAACTAGGTTTTAGAATCCAGAAGAGATTATGTTGAATGTGCACATTGTCAGCTCCAGGTGTAACATGGTGTTAAACCCACTTATCAAGATAAATAAGAGCACAATGATAATACTTATGTACACAACTTTGCCTCATGAAGTCTGATCATTAAGACATTAACTGGATTTTTAGTATAGATTCATAGGTATATCCCTGTTTATATTATTGTCTCCATGACTTANTATATATATATATATATATATATATATATATATATATATATATATATATGTATCTCAATGTATACCAGAAGTTCTTGTATAAATACTTCTCTGAAAAATTTAAAATGTATTTACAATCTGAAAATGAGTCAACTCAGAAGTTCCAGGCAGAAATAAGGCTTTACGTTCCTTTATTGGGTTGTAAAGGGTAAGATGTGTCATCTTAGAGATGAAAAATAACCTCACTGTAAATAACACAAAATCTATTCTCAATATCTATTTAAAATGTCCCCTCCTGATAGTGGGTCGCTGAACAGCGCTTGGCAATCATTAGTACTGAACTCAGGTATCATGCATGCATTCTGGAAAAGGTGGTTTGGGATCATGCAGGCAAACTCCTTAGACATCAGAAGAAGCCAAGTTTTCTGGGTACATTTAATGAAAATGAAGTAAAATCCAGTTTTGCTATGAGGAAAATTGTTATTTTATACGAAGCTTCTCAATGTTTGTATGAAAGGGGTTACTTTTCTCCTTAAAGAGCAGATAATTAAAAAAGAAAGTTCTATGTAGACCTTTGAACACATTTCAATGTTATTAAGTGATCAGGAATAATCATACTCTCTGCTTGTGGAGTCATTGTGGTGTGTCTGTGAGCTCCTTCGCCTCCTCTAGGACAGCCTCTCCCAGGCTGCTCATGGTTCTTCTCTGCTTATGCTACTTATCAAGTGCAAAAGCACTTTACAAATCCTAATCTTCTCAACACTACGATGAGGTAGGTAAATATTCTCTCTCTTTTTCATGTGGGAGAAACCAGGCTGGGTGAGTTTCTGAGGCTGCAGTGACCCACCTGTGATGAGGACTCAAAGGTGCTGGGGTTCTCATCACGGGCCTCTCCCCTCCATATCCTTGTCTCCATAAAGGAACAGATTTCACAGTGTAAAAGGATACTGTTTCACAAAATAAATTTGAGTATACTTCAGTCATTGTATTCAACACAGGGATTTGGGGTTTTCCACTAAGCCATAAATTCCACCCAATTATTAAATAATGAAAGATAACTGAAAAATATGCCTACTGTATTTGTAGTTGCAACTGATTGCCACCTCTTTGTTGCCAATTCAGTGAAACACTGCACTGAACAGCCTGTCAGTGACATGAAGGTAAGATTTGGAAAAGGATTTAGTGGAGCAACAATTTCAAGGAAGACAAAAAGCTGTGCCAAGTCGGATTGGTACGCATCTGTGAGTGGAAGCAGCAGCTATGTTGGCCCAGAAGCTTTCACATGTCGTGTGGGATAGCAAAACAGACCTGTCTTCCAAATTTGGGTTTACAGAATGCAATTAGCACAGAGTAATGACAACACGAGCTGGAGCATGCATTTGATTTCAGGGAACTTTGGCACCGGTTGGGAGGGGGGACCCAACAAGGAAGGAGAAGGGACTGTCCACCCCCTGAAATCATTCTAACTGGGCACTAAATGTAGAGATTGACACACTCAAAACACTACCCAAGAACCCATGAAACATTTAGATTTTCTATGGAAATCCTGTCATGATCTTTGTGTAGCTGAATACCTTCCTGTGCTCTGGGTGCCGGCTTACAGTCAAGACCTCGGAACAACATCTGCAATGTCACTTCACGTAATAGCTTGCCTGGTTTCCTGTCCCACTTCAGAACAGTAAATGAGGTAAGCACAATCTGATGAAATACACACACTCACCAATCTAGAGCCAAATCAGATGAAATAAGGAAGACATGTCCACAAGTAATCACAAATACAAGAGTCAGATGAATATCTATCTCAAATTTCCCTTCTGGAAAGTGAATTTCCCTTTGACGTCACTTCTTTTTTCTGTGGCTACAAGGAAAACATCAATATTCCAATATGTGTAACCAGTTGGTCCTTGGCAGTCAGAATGACATCAAGAAACCAAAACAAAAAAGTAATGTATTTTGTTTAACTTGAGAAAAATAGCTTTTCTTCTATGGACATCTTAAAATTCACCATGAAATAACTGCATCAAATACCTTAAAGTCTTTTTATGCTTACAAGGTATAAGAAATCCTTAAAGTTAAAACTTCCTATTTGAAGAATGAAAAGTTAACAAATTTGTTTTTCCTGTGAACAATTCTGTTAAGTAGACTTTGTGAATAATTAAGATTATGTGAAGAGAAAAGGGGCAATTATACAATCATGAAAGATGGAAAGGGCTAAGAAAAAGTGTCCTTGCCTGGAAGGAGTGGAGTGGCAGGCCTCCAGAACCATTTTCTGAATATCTATCTGTTTACAATCATGTCTGAATACAACCAAGCTTACCTTCCAAACGTCTTCCATTTGTGTTTGTCTATAGTAAATAAAAATCAAATAGCATTTGCTGTGCATTATTTATTTCTCTTTGCACAACAAAGATATTTTTAGCAGCAGAGTATCACCAGTAATAGATCACTGTACAAGAAAGTTCAATTTCATTGCCTACAACACCTGAGCACTTTCTGTCTATCTAGGCACCACCAGACAACCAGATTAAAAACTGTGTAACTCAAACATCTGGATTTTCTGAAATATCCAGATGTTTGACATCACAAAGACCCAATTTACTTGGTCATACTTTTCACTTTTCATTGGTATATTTGCATTCACGTGGACACTCTTTATGTTTTAATACCACAACTACTCCAGTTGTGTGACGATGGTTCAGCGATCATCTGGAAAATTCAGAGGTTGAAAGCTACCACATGAAAAGAAACTTAGCCATGAGGGAAAAATCAAAGCTTTAGGGCTATCTAGTGGTTTTGTCTATTTTGAAAAATTGCTTACTTGTCCACTTTTTTTACTTTTATTATTCTGAAAATCATTCTCACAAGAATTACTTTTTCAGTTTGGGGATAGATACACAGACTAAGTACTTGTAAACTGGTTTAGTGGATCTGAACGCAGAGGCTCTCGTGATGTCATGATATATTTACAATGGGATGATGAGTAAGGCTCTGGTAACCCTGAATATCATTGCTGTTAAAATTAGGGATAATTCAATGGTTCATATTCTACAAGCAAGAGTACTTACAAAACCTTAAATATCTCATAATCCATCAGAAGCTCTTGGCGTGCAGAGTTACCTAGCAGCGCAGAGGCCAAGGGCCAAGAACTGCTCCCTTCAGGACCATTAGTCTCAGATATGAAGCCACTGATGTCTCTATGTCCCGCTTCAGTCAGGTGTTGGGCTTTCATAAGCGCACGCATCTATTGTCATCATCATGGGGTAGCAGGGGCTACCTTGAACCTCTGGTCTATAAAAAGGCAAAAATTCTGTTGAGACACTGATGGGCTTCCCCTTTGACACCACACCTGCCCCTCTACAGTAATGGAAACCTTCTGTCTCAACACCACTTATCATCACTCTGACTCATGAGCCTTGTTTAAGAGGATTGTATATTGCTCCTGTGTCCCCACAGGCAACCAACTCATTGTACAGTACAGAGTATCTTTGTGCTCGTTTTGGCACTGGGGTTCAGGAAATTAACAATTTCTTCAACTTGTTAGTTTTCATTGCCTTGCAGTTGAAAATCAGTCAGGGTGGCAGGCCACTTTTTTTTTTACTATTACATTTCAGTGCTTCTGCCAAGAGCTATTTCTGAAAAATGCCTTACCCAGGAGGGAATGCAGCATGCTACTGGTGCCATAACAGGCTATCATTAGTAGCTCTTGGTACATCTTGGAGATAATCACCAAGATGGTCACTTTAGGAAGGAGAAACATCTCTGAAACACAAGAAATTATCCTTATTTATCCTTATTATTTCTGTTAGATTGCTTATGGGATAAATCTGATGACTTTCACTCATTTATTTAGGGTTCACTCTAAAACTGTTATACCAAAAGGTGAGGCAGAAAACCTTGTAAGATCATTTGGATGCCTGATTCTCTTGCAAACTCTTAAGTTACGATCTGAAGTACATTCATTCTTGTCTTGCATTCCAACCTTTTTTTAAAAATGGAGAAGCAGGTAGGAAAGAATCATGATTTTTAATTACGAGACTACCTGTGCCTTGTAAGTGAGCACTTAGGCATTAAGAATGTCAGATTGGTGATCTTAAAGCTTGTAAGCAAGGTTTTGCAGGCTCTGAGAAGCAGTAAGAAAGCCAATTCTACATACATATATACCTTAGTTTGAAACTGGCAATGCCAACACCTAGGAAAGCAGGAATCCAATTATTCAATAGCTACATCCATGTAGATTTTACTTCTGAAAGTGAATTTTAAATTCAATATTTATAAATTGGTTAGTACAATGCTGACAATGGTACTCTCAAGAAATGAAGGAAGGGCAGCAGCTGTACTCAGATCAGTTATTAGAGGTGACAATGACATTTCTTTTCCCTGTCCAAACACAAGTAGATGTGTAACCATTTAAAGGGAGTCTCTGTGGTCCAGCATCCATTCTCTGAGCTGTGCAAGCCCTCAGGATTCCATTGGCTGTCTTCCCTTTTTTCAAAGCAGTGTTACTGGCAAAAACAAATGAAGTGGCTGAATGGTCATAGCATGAATGACAAGGAAGTAGCACAGAGGCCTTTCCCTTCAGGCCTGGGCGCGTCATAACACAGCACGGAGCAAGGGCTCCTTTCCACTAGCTGATTAATTTTCCCTTGCAGTACAATATTGTAAGTCAAGAATTTGCCAGATTAAAGGGTCTGTGGAATTAATTAACTCAAATCACCTTCAGTAAAGCTGGACAAGTCCCAAGATGTTTCTGTAGAAAGAAAAGGGAATCGATAGCATCAGCAATATACAGCTTTGCGACAATCGAGGCTCACACTTCTGAGCTCCCCGCTCCTGTTGGCACCAGAGATTTTATTCTTTTCACAGAGCACCACGCCTCTTCAGACTAAGGAAAATGTTTCACCCCAGGCTTTCAAAACAGACTTCAGAGATCCATTTCCTTTTCTATATGCAATACCTTTGAAAGGTTAATAAGAGAAGTTGAGTATTTTCCTTCTTTGACAGAAGGATAAAATAAAATGACAATTATCTGACTAGCAGACAGATCTCCTTTGGTTACTGGATGATATGCTCTGGCTCCTCATGTGAATAGAATGAGAATACACAGTGGGACCTACAGAAAGCCACAGGTTCAGGGTTAATTGCTAAGTTAATGTAGCAGTACTCAACACATCCGAAGTAGCACTCATTTCCCAAAATCACAATGGCTGAAATGCCACTGTTGATTAAGACATATTCTACTGGTTTGTCATCAAAATAGGAATTTCTTACAATTGCAGAAACTGGAAATATGTTTTCAACACACCTAGGAGTGTTTTAGAACTTCTGAGAAATGAGTTAATTTGAAATAATTAAGAGTGTTGATGTAATACAACTCCATATCAGAATGCCACTAAAACAGTTAAATTAGCTTAAACATAACATCTCTATTTATTAATATTTGTAGCACTTAAATGAGAATTTGATTAGTTCTATTTTAATGCAAATCAAGCAATGGAGAGAGGAGAGGGCCACCAGCTTAATTTGGTGGATGAAAATACAATAAAAGCATGAGACCTTACATTTTCTGAAATTCTAATAACAGAGTAGGTGACAGCCTTTAATAATAACAGGAGAAAATTTCATGTTGTACTATGCTGGTAATATTTGCTTATCAAATTGATTAATACATTTTGGTGTTGATCTGTTTTGTTAAACATGATCTTTTCTCTGCAAACATTGTATCAGTAACTATGCTCTTCTCCTTGGGTGCAATGGCTAAAATAGCAGTAATCACAGTAATGAACTATAAATGGTGGCATGAACCTAGAAATCATGCCTTGGATCTTGCAGCATTATTAAGTCAAATGTTTTATTGAGGCTTAATGGGACTCACCAAGGAATTTTTAAAGTTATTCTGTGCTTGCACAAATTAATATACTTTTATCTCTCTTCCCTTTTGTTCCACAGAGGACCTATTGGTTTATGCATTCCCTGACCAGAATTACTACACTTAGAGAAAATTAGTTATGCAAGTTAATAGTTATCTTTAAACAATACACTCCTTGTATCAGTGGGAAAGCCAATCACTCAGGGCCATATTGTAGGAGAGACTTGGACTGGGTGGGATGTCAGCATGAGTTTCCGCATGAGGTGGGTCTGGCTGTCCCAACTCCTCAAGGTAATGCAGCATGTCCTGGACATCAGAAGTATGGCTTTAGAACAACCTCTCAGGCTGCAGTAACTGAGTTTTATGTCTGGAAATTTGTGACTCCTCAATAACTGGTATGCTAGAGACATATTTTATGAGCTAATGAAGGATGTTCCCTGAAGATAGAGAAGCAGCCTATTAGAAAATTCTTGAGACATTTTAGAGGCATCCTAATTTCATGTCTCTTATTAACAGAAATGTTCAGGAATATCTTCAGTGTTTATCCAGAGATGATTGATTTGAGTCAAATACTGTGTGCCAAAAGAGTATTTTAATGTTTTCATTGCTTTGTGGCCTTGTTTTAAAAAAGTCTAGTGTTGAAAATGCATAAAAACAAATTATAAAATTAGTTTCTCTTTACAGGCAGTCATCCATGGTTTATTTGTCTTTATACTTATGTTTCCTTATATTTGTCATTGTGTGTGGCAATTGTTTATTGTGAGGCTTACATAATACAATCTTGGAAAAGCTTATCTTTATTGCTCTAGTATAGAATTAAATATAGATGCAGTGGTAGAGTAGAAAAGAATTATAGTTGAAGTTATAAGATTTTAATTCTATTACTAATAAGCAAAGTGTGAGCTGCTGAAACATGGATTCCTTTTGCACTTGAGGGTATATTGCCTGGCACTGCTAATGATATAAACCAGGCTTTTTGAATGAAGGACTGAAGGAATCCTGATCACAAAAACTGTCTGATCACTTTGGATCTCAATTGTCTCATCTACAAAAAGAATGTGCTGAAGGAACACTTAGATCACTTTTAGATGCTATTTTCTGTAAAAATTAGTGACTTTTAATTTAACATCACTCATAGAGATATGCTTAGATTTTATGAAAGTAGGAGGCTGGATGATCACTTATATTTTTAATAGGTTAAATTCAGAGTGATCACTGCATATTTTTTAGAAATAAACACCAGGGTTGAGAAAACTTTTGGTTTATTATTAGCTACCTTTTTAGCATCAATTCAAACAACGCGCACAAAGCTTACTACACAACATCATCAAATGGCTAATAACTCCGTCATCCTGTATGATTAGAGCCTGTTACATCTAAGGTAAGGAGAATAAAGGGTACATCAATTGTTTTATAATCAATTCAAAAAATATTTGGTAAACATTTGCTATCTTCTTGTATCTAACCTTTCAATCTAAAACAAGGCTCCTAGATTTATATGACAGGTCAAGTTAGTGGTATAATCATCTCAAATACTAAATTTTGTGACCTGAAAGACACTGAATAAAATTTAGGGAAAATTATGGCAGTGGAGTAGAATCATGTCACTCAAGATTTGTTGATCTTTCTTTCCCTCCTTCCTCTCTCTCTGTCTCTCTTTTATTTTCCTGTCAGAGTGCTAAAATAAGTAGTTGGGCTAGTTCTCAGTCTGCCTAATTGGATGACATTAGTGCACAAGTGTGGAATAACAGAAAAGAATCATCAGTTAATTTATATTTATCACTTGCTTGAGTGTAGAGTAGGGCCATGGGTGGACAGTTGTCAAGATGGAGGAGCAGCATTTCTTTGCCTACCTGAATTAGGGAATTGAAGTAAAATTCAGTTGTAGGTGGTACAGACTTCCATTCTCAATGTTGACTTCTTTAACTTTTTATTTTGGAAGACATCTTTTACTTTCAATGAAATTTTCCTTGAACAATTTGATTGTTAGACCATGATTTTGTTTCTCCTGAAGGCTTGACAGATGAGGAATAGATTTTTTGGGGAAAATAATATTCCTTGGGCTTCTGGTAGGATTTGTGGTTGTTACAAGTTGTGTTCAACTCTAAGACCCACTGTTTCTTAGCTGTGGGACCTTTGGCAATTTGTTTAGACCTCTGAGCTGAAACTTTGTCTTCTGTAAGTGATACTTAACTCATATATGGTTGTGAGAATTAAAATGATATCCCATGGATAAAGATCTCTAGTAGAGCACTAAGCACATGACAAGCTCTCAATCACAATAAGCTACTATTAATACAGGAAACTGCAAGAAAATCTAAGGGGAAAAATAGCCAAAGAAAAAATTTGCTTTAGTTGGCATTTCTGACATGTTATTTCAGTATATTATTTATGTCCGTAAAATATTTTAGCAAAACAATTAGACACTTCAGAGTTATTAGGCTATCCCTTACTTAGCAGGACATTCCACAAAAAGTTCACTGAAATCTTACATTTCTGGGCTAGATCATTGCATGTACTTTAACAAGTCTGTTTTTTTTTTTTCTTGTGGAATCTAAAGGAAAAGCTTCAATAGGTTAGTGTGAAACAACATACTGCCTCAAACACTCAAGGGAGAGTTTCTGAACCCCTCATTTCTGTGGGCAAGTGGCTGCTTGCCACTTCTTCCATTTGGCTTTCTGCTGTGAGAGCAAGGCTGCATGCGAGCTAGCCTAATTGCTATAATTAGCAAAATTGAATGGCTCATTGTGTTTTTGTACAATTCCACCATATCCTGTAGAGTTTCACTTTGGAACGAGTAATTATACTATTGAGGTTGTTGCTCACAGGCTCATCGTAAGTCTTTCCATGTGCCCATTTTTAGGAGAGCAACTCGACAGGACATATGTCCCCAGAGAGAGCTCGGCAGCAGACAGTGACACCTGCCGGAGTGTGGAGAGGAGAGGCAACCCAGCTGTCAGATCCTGTACAGCCTGATCTAGGTCAGGGCTGGTGGCTTGGAGACGAGGGTTGGATGGGGTGGGCATGTGCTGGAGGGAAGTGGCCCATCCTTAGCCATTTTAAAATGCTCCAGCTTCATTTGGAAGAAGGGGTTTTATAAGTCACAAACTGGCAAAAGTGATCATTTTGATTGTTTTCAAAAGTGACAATGAATGGCTGAATTGAACATAAGTCGATCTGCGTCCCCCACTGGATTTATAGAAACGACCACCTCAGCCCTGCTGTGTCTTCACCATGCACTTCAACCATCCTCTGAGCTATACTTCTGAAAGACAGTCTAACTATTTTTAAAAAGGCTTTAAGGAATTCTCCTTAGAAACATAAAAATTCAGGCATCTCATCCAAGTTTTTTATAGAAACAGTAATGGCTAATGGAAAAGATGTGTGAGAATGCACAAGAGCATGTATTTAGTCTAGGAAGTGGTTCTTTAGGAAAAAACATCTCTGGATTCTTGTCTAAACATTGTGCCAGAACTTGTTTCCACTCAATGGCACATGGTCCATTGAGAGGCAAACATGTAACCTTACACAGTCCTGTACCAGAGGTTTTCCTTGCTTAATTCAATCAGTTCAGAGAAAGAAACTTTGAAATGACTCAAAACTATTCTATTCAGTTGCTTTTCAAGAATGAGATCCTTAAGGAGTGATAAAGCTCATTCAAGCTCAAAGAGCTAAATTATGTTTAGTTATTTCCCACAGCATCAGAAGTGTGTTGATATCTTATAGAAATGAACTGTAATCTTGAGCTAATGTTGAAAAAGGAGTAGGAAAAAGCTTTTCAAATGAAAGTTCATGTGTTGGTAACATACCACACTATACACATGAAAGGGCAGTATTCATTTCTGTTGCTTTAGTTGTGTGTGCGTATAAAAACATGTATATGTGTTATATATATATATATATATAACATATACACATTATAGTATTTTTTTAAAAAGTCACTGAGATTTCAGTTATTCATTCATTTTTAACTGGTCAGTCTATCATCTCATTTCTTCATAGAGCAAAATAAACTGGGTATTTAGAACTTAAGCATAAATACTTCATTATGCTTTTACCTTCAGATCATCTTTGTATTTTATATTATGCTAATATTTGAATTGCATATTCCTGCCATAGCAGTAAAAGAATTTATTTCATTTGTTGGGCTCATCGCATTATCATAAATGAACAGTAACCGAGTGTCTGCAAAGCCAATGTTACTGAACCAGACAGTGCATAATTAAGTAAGGCAAAGTAAAGGTGCTAAGAGAATTTAAAGGACATAGTCATTTTGGTGGACCAAACTTTGACTTACGTGGCAAAACATTTTTTTTTCACACAAATACTTATAGTCTCAGTATGGTTAATATGTGTTCCTTAACTTAAATATGGTTTCATTTATAAATACTAATTTGAAAGTGAAAATATTTATATTTTCTTTAAAAATATTTTATGGTCCTATGCAAAAAGCAAACATTAAAAGCAGACCACCCTCTCAAAAAAGCCAAGTAGGTTCAGGCCCAGGCCATGGTATCCCACAGAAGAAGAATCCAGCATTTCCAGTTTGTATGCTCACCGTAGCTCGTTCCTTTTGGATTCTCCAATTACTTTCTGTGGAGGGTTAAAGGGCAGATTGAAAATGAAATCTTAGGAAGAACTCAAATATGAATATAAAAATCAAACTTTGTTCCTTTGTACATTGACAATGTCCCTTTAAATCCTAATACTTTAAACTCTCTGTTATCTGTGTCTTTGGAAACTAATCCAGGTTCTGATCACCACACAGTCTGATGACAGTGCAGGGCTTTCTGAATCATGAAAGCAGGAGCAAGTCATGATTTTCCTTGGAAGGAAATTTTTTTGTTTTTGTAATCTGGAGAAAGTATGTAATTTATAACATGGTGAGGATGTCCTTTCCTTAGCAAGAATTTTGGACTAACTGAACACACATTGTTATCTTCGAGAATGTTGGATAACAGAGTATTTACAGTATTTGGGAAATCACTGAGAAATTCAAACTTCTTACAGCCTCCTGACTGCAGTCTTAACTCCCAGACAAAACACCGTACATTATCTTTTGTTCACATAGCACTCATTTTGATTCTTAGCATGTTAAATGAGGGACCAAGTTGGAAATAATGTAGGACTTAAATGATTGATGAGTGGTAGGCCTGTGGTTTGTGTTGGTTGACAATATTATTCTGTAATCTGTTATTTACTTATGGAATTAAAGGTATAGTTCAACTGAACAATTTCCAAAGATCACCAATTAAAAGTTGTCTTGGAAATAATGAAGCTAATGACTTAAGTTCTGCACAAAAGTGAAGAATTTGCCAATATAATTATTATTTTTTTTCCTTCTACAATGGGGGTAGAATGTTTTCACCAGTTGCTGACAAGAAGAGCATCTTCCTGGACCTTTACTGGTGACTAGGTGATCTGTTCACATCTGAACAAGAGATTATTATTTTTTAGAGGACATCTTGCTTGGAGGATCAAATCATGGAGTACTAGGAAAGTATGTCTACTGATTAAAAATCGTCTACTTTCTACATATTGCCTTTACATATTGTACCATAAGAAGTCCCAGGTTGAGCCCACTGTCTCTTCCTGTGGATGTCATCATGAGGACAGCAGTCTCTGTGTGACACACCCACTACCGGTGTGGCTATAGCACTTGACTACTTTAAGTGACTTGGACAGTCCAAAGAACTGAATACTTAAGTACTGACTTTCTCCTTTTCCTTGACTTGACTAATATTGAATATCAGTTGGATTAATATAAAACCAGGGAAAGAAGTTTAAGACATCTTCCACTGTGGTCAGGTTTGTCCTAATGGATGGATGAAAGTGATCATTTACAGCTTTGATTTCCTGGGAAACATTGGCCAGTCTTGACAAGCCCTTTCTAGTTAAGCTGATTCTCTCATCACCTGATAGATATTTCTGATAGCACCCCTGGCCAGGTTCCTGGGGGCACCAACATTGCAAAGTAGGGTGATCTTGCAAGAGATAAGTATTTTCAATCTGCCAAGGCAGGCTGATGGAATTTGTGGACCAGTTTTGTGACCATCCCAAGTAATTATGATGCTTAAAGTATTTTAAATAATTGCAGGTCTATAAAAAAAGTGATGATGCCTATGTGTATACCCTATATTTTTTATTACAAAAATATTGAAATAATCCATGAGTTATTCCACTCTGCACCAACTATAAAAAAATACTATCAAAGTTTGACCGGCACTTTTAATGCAACAAAAAGCACCATGACCGAGGACACTGGGAACAGAAAGCGGGGAATGTTAACTTGCTGTACGGAGGTATTTAAAACCCAGAAGCTTGTTGAAAGAGCGTGACTTTACAAATGATTCAAATACAAATCTTAGCTGGATCTAGTGATAAGCCCTCAATCAGTTCAGATGGGTTTTCTCATTGTATATTCACTGCATTTTTCTGCTCATACTTACTAAAAAGTGTCCCAAAGCCTCTAAAAGATACATCATTTTGACCTTGGACTGGGGGGTGGGGTATCTGTACACAGTGGAGAATTTGTTCATTCTCACGTCCACTTTTGCGGGGCTCATTTCCAGTTGTTGGGGGCTTCCGTGTCAGTCCCGTGGTTGGATGGCGTTTGGCACGAGAAGGGTGTGGTATGGCGTGTTCTGGAGTTGCCCGCCTGTATTCACACAGAGCCACGCTTTCCCCGCCATGGAGAGCTGTTACCTGTCTCGCTGCTCTGCACCTACTCCAATGTGAGCTGTGCAGGCTGGGAAATCAGATGCTAGTTTTGCCTCGTTTTCCTACTTCATCTTTGTGTATTTATTAAATTTTTGCAACTGAATACTGAATCATGATTATTATTTAATTTACATTACTAAGTTATCAAGCTCCTTGGTCTTGTCAAAAGCCATACGTGTGCTGCATAGGATTTCTATCATAAAGGATGTTCGTAACTGACAACGTAAAATAAAAAACAAATCCTGAAATGTGTCAAAAACGAACCATTCCAAAAATTCTAATACATGTGTAAACACACTTGAGTTTGCTGTCCATTGGATAGGCTTTTCACACATTGGTTTCCAATCAATTGGTTATGAATTTGTTTCTAAGCAGTACTATCTTTTTTTTCCCTTGAAGACTTGAGGGATATATTCTCTCTGTTTTTATATTCCTGTGGAAATCAAAGCATTGCATCAAGAAAAATCATCTAAGCTATGTTGATAGAGGACTGGTGTTGTGTGTGTTAGTGTGTGGATACCTGTGTGTGTGTATGCGTATGACTGAATATTTTTTTATGCAAAGATAGTTAATTCCATCCAAACACCCAATCCAGTGGAGGCAACAATTTCCATCATAATAGTGCCCCCTGGTGGATATGGTGAAGACTGCACAAAGGGTTGTTAGCAACCAGGAGTCCTAAGGGGCTATGTCCCCTCTGGGTGGAGCAGGGGACTCTTTCTGGTCGCTATTTTGAAAGGAGACGGACAGCTGGCAGTCAGCTGATGGAGGCAATAATCATGACGATCGCAGACTAAGAGCATTATGGCTCGTTGCCCTCCTCTCGGATGAAATTTCATTATTGCCACAGCCCTGCTGTCACCCCTTCCTCTGGAGGTCAAGGCCCCTCCAAGTCCTTCTGTTTTATAAAGTGGTTTCGTACTCCAGCCGCTCCTGAATGAGGGCATCATCTTTGTACTGCAGCCTTGGAGGAGATGGGGAACATTCAAAGGCTAAAATGGCCTTTCGTAGGCTTCGGTCCAAAACGTGTCTCTCCCACGCTGGGTACCTGTTCCTGAACAGGTCAATTTTAATGACAGATTCTTCAATCCGTGGCGGGCGAGAAGAAGGGGTGGATGGAGCAGTGGGCCTCACCTGAAACACAGGCACACAGCCGTCCCGCTCTGCGAATTTCTGGTCGCTGACAACACCACGGTTGTTGGAGATGGAGCGTAGCGTGCTTGAGGCCACTTCTGGAGGCAGAGTGAAGGCAGCAACTGGGTCTTCACAAGCGCAGCTTGGTGACTGCCCGAACCTGGGTCCATTGGGGTGAAAGAAGGCATAATACATCAGCATAAAAACAACGCCCGTTAAAAAGCTGCTGAATACCACACACAGGGCTGGGATGGCAAATGCATCTGCAATCTGGGGAGCCTTGTAGAGGTACCAGAGGGCACTCAAGGCTGTATTTTCCAAAAGGATCACAAAATAGTAAATGAAGAGCCTGCAGCGTGTCCTGCCTTCCTTGACATTGAACCAGCTGAAGATGTAGATGATCCCCACCACCATGTCGAACACAATCTCTTCCCATTTGGTGATACAGAACTCTGTCTCACAGTGGACGATCCAGAAGGTCATGATGCACCAGTGTAGGACGATGAAGATCCCGAAGTAGAGCTGGAAAACTGAGGCAAAGAGGGCGAAGGTGATGACCCTGGCGGCGATGGTGAAGAAGTGCCAGCAGAACTGGATGATGACAGCCATGTAGCTGATGGGCTTCTTGTCGTCTCGAGAGTCCCGGAGGGCCTTCTGGTAAGAGGCCAATGCCCAGGCCAAAGACACGAGGGAGGCTGCAGCTGTGAAACCTGCAGAGGTGAACAGGAAGACATTTGGTCAGAAGTCATCCCCTGGAAATAAGCCGTGTGGAGCTGGGGTTGGGTAAGGGCTTGGCACTGGCTCTGACCTCTGCAAAACCAGAATGTCCTTGAATTTCAGCGGGCCTGCACACTCAGGTGGGGTTCTAGCATCTGTCTTCTTTGGGTCCCCGGCCGTATGGAGAAGTAACAAAGCTAATGGGAATGCTATGCACATGTGATGTGGTGTGGGATCTGCAAGCGGGGTGGGTGTTGATATTCTATATATTTAGAGGAAATGTCCTCACTTATAAAGCAGATGATCTCCAAGGCTCCCTGTCAGCTTTGAGATTCCGTGATTGAAAGGGTAAATAATCACAGGAAACTTGAGGGGCTGACTGCTTTACTTTTCTGCTTCTAAACAAGAATTAATGTAGCTCATTAAAAAAAGAAAGTTGTCTTTCTTAAAAATAAGAAAATGAGTCTACAGACCTCCCTGGCAGCGGTTCTCCTGATGCCTGGTGTGCTGTCTGTCCTAACGTAGTCTGATACTCTTCCTACAGCTTCGGTCTGTCCCTTCCTGCCTTTCCCTTAGTAGAAGACTTTCTGCTTATGGTCATTCATCTCTTATTTTTTTCGTAAATTAAAGATTTTACAGAAGTCACTTCTCAACTATTTCTCTTAACATTTTATGAACTCTATTTGGTCAGTATTCCCTCCAAGGGTATGTTTCTAAAATTCTTAAAGCATTTTTGTTGCTTCCCTTCAGTGTTATTCCACCTACTGTGTCTGAAACATCACCTCTGTGGTCCAGATGTGAACAGGGCTTACGTAAAACCCACTGGCCTCCTTGAGAAGAGAGCTCTTTGGGGGAACCCCACTTTATCACTGAAATGGTATGCCAACCTGCACTGTAGTTGGTTTACTTAATGAGCTGTAACAAGACTAAGAATTTTTTGTGTGTATTAAAGTCCATCTGGCTTTTCTTCACCAAATCTATTTTTAATCATACTGGGGCACATTAGAGTCATTGGACTATAGTGGAAATAATAGGAGAGGATTTGTCAAGAACTTGTGATTGTACTGGTGGTTTTATTTTGTATTTTGATAGAGAAAATCTGTTGTCTGTGATTTTGAAAAATAAGTTTGAAAAAACTGACTCTTGTGGGAAAGAAGCATACTGATAAAAAAAAAATTCCACTTCAACAATCACTTCTTACACCTTCTCCTTGAGTAAGGTGAATTCCAAAATACAGTATTGATAAAGAAAATATTTTCCAACAGCCATTTCTCATATCTACTCCCAATAAAACCAGCAGAATACCCACGTCTTACCCTGGATCCTCAGTTTTTTTCTGGCCAGTACAAAAATCTTTCATCACCATAATGCTCAGGCAGTCAGGGCAAAATTTTTAGGTCGGTTAGAAACCAGTACTTAAAGGAAATAGTATAATTTTTATGTGGTGGAAAACATCTACATCAATTACAAAGAAAATTCAGAAGTAAAAAGAGGGCTGGAGGAAAAGTTAATAAAAAGAAGAAAGGTCAGAGGATGGGAAATAAAAGATGATGGAATAATGACTATACAAACGATACACACCAGTTTAGGATTTAAGAACGAAAGGCAGTGAGCCATTTTAATTTCAACACCTTTGTGTGGCATAGAAATAGCTAATGACCTCGTTCCTTGTCAGTGCCATTTGCGAATGTACGGATTGCTTCTTGAACCGACTGACTGTACGCTCCTTGTGCGCGTAAGCAAGCTGCGCACTGGCTCGCCCCTCCCGTCGCACGCCAGCGTCCTCTAGAACAGGGCTTAAGCACAGCGCCGCCTTCAGGAAGGCGGCTGCATTATCGGTCAGGCGCGAGCAAACAGAAGCAAGCCAGGGGACACCATCAGGATGGTCAAGGCAAAGTAACAGTTTTCACAGGAAATTGTTATTAAAGACTGTTTTAAAAGCAGTGAAAAACAGTAAAAAAAAAAATATGTACACATTATCATGAAATTATGTTTTCATATTTAAAAGTACTGTAAAATCGGCTTAGTCCAAATTCCACAGTAATCTTCACCCTTTTTTATTGCACGCCCTAAAGAAGTAAATTCAGGCTGCATTTGACACTCCAGGAACTTAAAACGATATTCTGGCAGTATTTTAAAGCCACTAGAGTAGGAGGGAGCTACTTCTAGCTTCTCAGATCTCTGATTTTGACTTGTTACGGACACTACTTAGTAACTCAGAGACTAGTTTCTCAGATGACTAAGATGCTTGTCCATTTTGAATAAATAATTTTTCAGAATAAGGGTTATGAGTCTAATACTAGAGAGTCAGTTAATCAGCATTCCATAGGGAACTGGTAGAAATTGGTATCACATTGTTCAAGTGAAGAGCAAACTTCTGAATTTCCTCCCTCTGTCTCTTTGCTTCCTATGCTGTCTTTTCCCATTATGGTGTCTCCATGACCCCTTTCCTGTCCCTCCATCCCTTTCTCCTCCTTCTACCCGTCTCTCCTTCGATTTGCTTCTGTTCTACCATTCACTTTTTCTCTATTTCCTGCTTTCTTGAACATAACATGGAATTGAATTACTAAAAGAAATACTAATAAAAAATGTGTTGATGAAATAGTATCTGGCGTTCCCCATATCTACCCTCACAACTGTTCCTAAAACTCAAATAGACTCAAAATTTGTATTTAAATGTCAATGGTCTTTTGCAAGTATTTATCTCCCTCCCCTGCTCTGAATCCTATGGCCTTGCTCCAAATGCAGATTTACTTTCAAGGCTTCCACAGCTCCCATTACCACTAACCTCTGTTTTTCATCACAAGTTACTTCTTTCTTATAATCTTCCTCTAATTTGGATCTAAATGCAATCTTAATGAGAGAGGTAGGGAGTTCTTTATATTTTATTTAGGATTATACAAAATAACAGCTTAGAGGGCTGTGGGAGGAGTTTGTGGGCAAAAGCTGTATCATCTCAATTTAAACATTCTTCCTTCTCAAAAAGAATGGATAAAGAGTTAGTATGGGGTGATTTTTGGAAGTATTATAGTCCAAGAGACCTTGATTTTACAGCCTCTAGACTAGGAAGGGGCTACTTCTGGTCTTGAAACATAAATTCATTCTCTCCACCAGCATGTATTCATATCAAATACCTCATCTGCTTCCTTCAGAACATTTACCCCAGTTTAGAATTATGTTTCACTTTGTGCTTGCTTAACTACTGTGTCTCACTGGAGTGGACATTTAGGTAAAGATACATGCTGGCCTTGCTTACTTTTCTGTCCTCTGCTGCTTGGTACAGTGCCTGGCTTATACTGAGAATTGGCACTTTATAGAGAAAGGAAGATGGAAGGGAAGGAAGGGGGGGGGAAGAGAAATCTAAATACAGAGTCACCACTACAGACAGAATGAGATATTGTAAAAATCTGTACAATTCTTCTTTGCTCTCCTATTCTGATTCTTTGCAATTTTAGTCTGAGCTGCAAATGTCAAAACACTGTGAAATAAAATCTGTACTCTTATCTTGTTGTTTGTGGTCTGGGTATAAACAAGAATTCCTGGAAATCCACAGAGAATGTGTTAAAGGATTTATAGTCTATTTCTTTAGAGGTAGGAGGCTCAGGGGATTGAACCAAGCACTCTAATTCTGTGATTTTTCAAAAAACAGAATGAGTCTGTCTCTCTTTTTCTCCTAGAAGGACATAACCACAGCCCTCCCCCTGCACTAGGCCAGCCCAAGGTTATGTCTCAGGAAGACACCTGACGGCTGGCCCATGGTCACCACCAAGCTGCAGCTGGTGAGAAGGGCCCTTTTTTTTACAACTTAAAACATTTATTATTATGCAAAATTTCAAACATATACAAAAGCAGAGAGAATAATAGAACAAATATGTCCTTTATGCAGAATCAATGAAAGCTCTGAAATTCATGACCAGGGAACTAGGGCCTTTGGCCCGCAGGTGGACCCTCTTGATGGAGCTTTGGATCCTCTCCTTCCTGGATCTTCCTGCATCTACTCTCCCCCCCACTCCTTTCCTGAACTGACAGGGAAGAGCCATGCTGATAGACTAACTTGCTGATCACTGATGTTTTATGGCACATCTTGGGAAGCCTGACCTCATAGCTCTCCGGGCCACCTAACCTCTCTGGCTCATCGTGTCCCTGCCTTTCTCTGCTGCAGCCACCCTCTCTCTTCATTCCTCACCTGCTCCATCAGACTACATCCTCTCCTCAGAGACAGGAAATGCTGTATTTCCCTTGAAAAGCCACTTCTCTCCAGTTAATCACTGCTTGTCCTTCAGTTTTCAATCTCAGCATTAGTCATTCCCTAGAGAAGTCTGTCCTGGCCTCCAACCCAATCCAGTCACCTGTTCTAAGTGCACACAATCTCGGCACTTGTTCTTCAGGCATCTCCTCAGCACACCTGTTGTAGGCCCATCTGTGTAGGTGATGATGTGCTTTCCTAGGTGGGTTGGGTCTGCCTCCTGTGGCTGATCGCTGTGTCCCCAGCATCTGTCACTCTTTTGTGTATCACTTTTGGAAATTTGTACATTTGTCATCTAGTAGCTGCTCTTCTATTGTCTCCTAACTGCCCACCATCTTGACTGTAGGTATCTTGACTTTCCTTCTCTTCACCCCATTTCTTCATTCTGCCTGTCATTTCAACAATATGGAGGAAATTAGTTTTCTCACTACTAGTTTTGGAATAGATGCTTTACAGCATAACCCTCCTCGGCTATGACAGCAAGATGTGACTGCTCATAGCATGAACATCTTTTTATAATGCACACACAATAATTTACCCCCTAATGGTACAGTGCCAAAACAAACATTGAATTTTAGATAATAATATAATATTGATTTATTGTAGTCAAAACCTTTATGTTTTCTTTGAATTTGAATCTCATGATCATAGACAAAGGAACAAGGAGCTGGTTTGTTGGGCTCTAGCTTTGCTCACAGAGATGTGCGAGTTACCTACATCCTTGTCCAATTTAAAATTTGCCGTAAC